CTTATCTGACTTCATAGATACCTAAGGCTAAAAAATAAAATGGATAAGCTAAAATTAGATAAGGAGTAGGAGAGATGAAATGGTAAGATATTTTCTGAAACATGAACGGCTAGTGATAGAAATGTTAGTAGCAGAAACATCAGGATAATTAAAAGATTACTGCTCGCAAATAGTTATAGGAATGCGGGACAGGCTCAAAATAAGAATGAGTGGAGTCTATAATGGCGTCTATAACCAGTCTTCGAATTGACAACCTTGTTACAAATAACGATTGGAAAACTTTTAAGATTTGTTAAAAGACCATGAAATAAATATTGTTCTATAATAATGACACATTCCAGTGGGCATACATACACATTAAATCGTAAGTTTGTCATTTGGACAGTTAAATTGTTGCTATTACTATAAAATACGAAGTTTTTGATTACTTTCTTGTTCCGATTTTATTTGCTTAGAAAAGCAAAAGTGCAATTGAGGCAGATGCACTATGTACGATACAAATATAAATATTGTGATGTTACTTCGAGATTGCTAGAGCAGGAAGAACGTTGTCAATATTTGATCCGGAAAACTAGTGGCACCTCGTACGCGATTGCTGTTCCGAACTTGGAAACGTCACTTTTATGCAATTGAATTGCTAGTTTGGTGTAACGACACTCGGGAGATCGCAGTTGCGATCCAGTCAGGCCTCCTTCTCCTACATTAACGTGCATATACCAACTTTTTCAATTTCCTTCGTCGTTGTGAATAATGCACTTTAAAAGTACATTTCGAATTCCGTTGCAGAATGCACATACACGTTTATATGTACGTACATACACATGTACGTCTACCTACGGAGTGGGTACAGCGTATTATGAAGTTCCTCTAAAAATCTGCTGGAACTCATGTAAACGAATTCAATTTAGTGAGTGAATCGTATCCAGCAGGCTTTAACTATCGCCACCGCTAGAGTGCTTCCAGTTCAACTGTACTGAGCACAACTGGTCGAATCAGCCACCACATAGGCAGTAGCAACGGTTAATAAAGTCGATATTTTCGAGCGCATAACTCAAATGTGTGACAATGAAATCTTTGCGAATTGTAAGATTGGAGACGAAGCACCTTTGTCACTGATAATCTGTATTAAATAGTGTCTTAAAGAATATTAGAAATTTTCTGGCCTGCACTAGAAATGGTCCGGATAATGATTTTTCCGGGTACCGGATAACTTTGTATTTTGTATTTGTAGTGTTTTCGGTTAGCTTTAAATAAAAGAAAACACTAACGTAGAATTCATCTTTAAGACTTTTAATAATCACAACAACAGGAACAAGACAACCACAAAAATAACAATAACGATTGTAACAATGTGAACTTACTAAATAACTCGAAGAAAAGAACTGGAAGAACTCAGACGAACTAAGAAAGATAATAAATTTTAGAAAACAAAATTCAAAACCTCACAATATATACCTATAGATCGCGACAGTATTAATTAGTTAGTGGAAATCAATAAGAAATAGGCGAGATAGGTTGATAGGACACCTTCTCAGGCATGAAGGTCTAGTCAGAGACATATTAGAGGCAAAAACGGTAGTTAGAATGGGTTAAGGTAGACGTAGATTAGATTACTGTTCGCAAATAGTTAAGGATATGGGTTGTTCTAGTTTTAGGGAAATGAGAAGATTAGCTCAGAATAGAAAAGAGTGGAGGTGCGTGTCCAACCAGTCTCAAGACTGACGACCTTATGATGATAATGTGTAAGTAGTTGTTCATTCCGATATTTTGTTCATTTAACCTCAAAGCTCAAATAATTTTAATTGAAATTCAAACAAAATAAAATCAACCTTCATATATTGTTACATATTATACCTTTTTATTCTACATGTTTAGATGCTAGTGAAATGCAACCAACTATGTAGTGTATAGTTTTTTTTCTTGTCATAGTTTCCCATCGATTCAAGCACTTTTTTCTCCTATACAATGCTAGGTATCAGGCTGTGTTAAAATTGCAGTTACAGATGAAATTCCTGTAACAATTCTGATGGTTTATAATTGACAGTTTTATTCTTTTCACTATACATATACTAACGTCTCTTTTTAATTAAAAACGTTACAACACTTCTTATAATGACAAGTGTTTGAGGCAGCTTTCCCGTTCGGGGGTAATTGCAGGACTTTCTCTGCCAAAGAATAGACCGATGACAACTGTCTAAGACTTCGATCGCTGGGACTTTGACTGGTATAAGGAAGGAAGCAGTCGCCCCACCGAGTGATAAATTGAGGCTTGCCTTTGTCTTGCGTTCCGGGGAGCCTGACAAGGATATAGAGGCTCCAGTGGCTGTACAGGACGCGCGAAAGATTCTTCTACGTCAATTGGGAACAACGGCTGACAATGGATTTTTTCCTAATTAGAGAAATTTCGAAGCTAAAAGGGTTTCACTGTACTTGTCGAAGTTTATTTCCGATGATGCTATACAGTGGCATTAAAGCACGAAAGGTAATTTTGCAGCTCAACTCTTATAAGAAGAAACTAATTTGTTAACGACGTTCGCTTCTAGAGAAGGAAAAGGAAATTGGTGAACATTAAGACGAATGCCGTCAAGTGCGCTGCGTAATTGTACTGTGAAAGCTAACGAGGGTTTTCAATTGAATTTCTAAAAGAAGTCAAACTGCTTTTATTTATTACTTCCTAGCGATGACATTAGAAAACGGTAACTCAGAAAACCCGCAAAATAATGCAAAATAAAATACTGGTATGCAAAGGAAGAAAAAATAGGAAAAAGGTAAATATAAAGATTAGAGACGAAGAATTAGAAGAAATGGCAAATTTTGGAGATCGGTAGAAAGTCAGATAACTCATAGAGGCTAAGAGGTGTAGAGATGGACCTAGATCAAATTACTATGTATAGTTGAGGGTGTGGGAAATGCAAAGATTAGCTCAGGATAGGAAAGGGTGGACGTGCATGTCCAACCAGTTTTAGGACTGACGATCTTATGATGATGCTGATCAAGTTACGGACCGAAAGAACATTCACCATGAAGTTACAACGATCACATATCTTTTGAAGATTTGAAATCTTGAAAATATGAAACATCAACAACTCGTGCTTGTCAAGCTATCGACTTCCATAACACCTTAATGTTCTCTTACCTTTTCTAATATTTCCTCATTTCCAGTCGTTTCTGTCCACCATATTCAAATTAACAGATCTTGAGATATTGCACTAAAGAATACTGACATTGAACTACTAATATACTACTTTGATTTAGTCATCAGAATAAGTAACTTAACAACAATTTTATTACAATCAAAATCTGTTCCACTCCATGAAAACCACCGCGAAAGGAACGTTCTTCTGGAACAAACCATTTACGCATTTGTGAAAACTTTTTGCAAAATGGTACCAATATTCATTACTGTATATGTATGTATACCTACTCGGTATTCGCAGGTTATCATTAAAAGGGTTGAAGTAGCTACGCGGTAGCATAGCGTGCCGAGAAGGCAGTTAAAAATAAACCAATTAAAAGTGCGCGGTGTTTAAACTTAATGTACTCGCATCCGCCATAACACGCGTACTCTTGTTGAAATAATAGCCGGACGAGATAACATCTACATGGACTTGCATTATACATATGTCTACCTACATTCTGCAATTTATTAACATTGAAACGCACGCTGGAGACCGCACTACCGTATCGGTCCACCGGACGCGATACGACGCGACAAACAAATATGATGCGATGTACCTATCGTACCTGTACATATTACAGTTCAATTCATGGGAAATGACGATTTACCTATAGAGACCCGTTAGTTATACTGATCAACATGAATCAAGAATCTAATAAGACTAGAGATGTCGTTTCCAAATCTTTTCGTTGGCTAAAAATTGCTTCGTTGCTCTAAATAGATACTGTAATGACATATTTATTCTAAAACTAATCGAGGAGCACCTGTTTCGGTAGTGCATGCAACTTTCAATCCCCATATCTCTCACAAGACACTTTGGTCGCCCACATCTCCACACACACTGCCACCAAAATGGCTTTATGCTTGAACTACTCCGAAGATCTACCCCATGCACCACACACCGGTAAGTGCTCGTGTGTGGCTCAGAAGGAGTTCCAAAACATATGACACCACTATTTGTGGCTTTTTTTATTTGTAGTAGGTACATGTATATTGATTAACTGAAATTAGTCTGAAATTAAATCGCTTTTTTACAATAATGTATTCGAAAACTATTATAAAATTTACAAAAAAACTGAGACCAAAAGACTTTCCAAAAGTCTTTAGTCTCAGTTTCATCTTATTCCTTTACTTTTCATTACTTTATTCCTCATTTTGATTTTAACTTGCATTTCAATGTGTTCTTATGATATTAACTTTTTAATTTAGTTTGTGATTTTTAATTTTCAACTTAATTTGTGATACTTATTACAACCATTTTTAAATTAGAAGACCTGTTGGACAAATAAAAAAGTCTTATAATAATCTATTATAATTATCAGCCAGGAGCTATGTTGATTTGCAATATGGGTACTTGGTAAAGCTCCTAATCTAAGAGCGAAACTTTGACCTAATTTGCGAATAAATCCAACAACATTGACCAAGTTCAGAGTTTTCACTTACGTTTACACAGTCTCGTTGAAAATACATAATTAATTCATAATATCTTCTCGATGTTATTTAATTAGGGCATTAAATTAATGTAAAAAGCGAGACCAGACACTTATTAGAAAAGCAAATAACAATACATAATTAAAACATCCAACTAGATAACGCTAATGATTGCCACTACCTTACATAGTGAACTACTTGGTCTACGATTCATGAGATTCAGATGCAAAACTAGCAAACTACAATTGTTCACACAAAATTTATAGATCCAGATATAGATACATGTATTGTACTGTACTCTCGTGATTGCCCCCTTCCTAAATAATAACACGTTGTATGTATACAGATATTTTAACAAAAAATTACTCACATAGATTGAAATGTAACTTACCATGAATGAATATCTCATGCAATCTTCAATGGCACTCGTTCGATGATTCCATATATTCATAAGTCCTTGTACCTAGCACATCAACCGATTAAACGACGAAAGCAGTACAATTTATCAAAAATTAATTAGGCAAGTATCAAAAACACTTCACCGAACACAAACTAACCGCTAAGCATTTTATGCCGAATGTCGCTACTAATGATAAAGAGTTTAGGAAACTTGGTCCCGTGTCTTCTAATTGTCACTTTTATAACAGTAATTTAACATCCACATTCACGACACGACCGGCAAAAACGACGCTATCCGTAACAATTCTGGGCATAAAGTGAAAGGAATATCTGTATATCGATGGAATGTTATCAAAACAACGCCAACGTAAAAACCAGACCAGTTCTGTTGACCCTTCAAGGACAATGACTAACAGATAAAACGAAGTCAAGCGATTCTTCAAATAGGATAAAAATGCAGTCAGATTCTGAAAAAAAAAATATTCCTAATAAAATATAATACAAGTCTACCAAACATTCGTAGTCAGAAAATTATTACTTTAGAAATAAATAATACATGTATTAAACAGGACCAGTAGTATGAATTTAAAAGAAGAATTGTATTGTATTAATATTTGAGTTAAATATATCGTAGACTTGGTACGGTACATCTAATTTTTTTTTTTAATTACTAACATACAATTGGACTGTTAAAACTAACTAAATTTATGGAAAATTAATTAATTTCTTTTTCGCTAGTGTTGCCCAAACGCAAGAACAAGACGAGACTTAGCCAGTCTTGGTCTTGGTCTTGCGCCAATACACCTGGTCTTGGTCTTGGTCTTGGTCTTGCGCTCCCAGTCTTGGTCTTGGTCTTGGTCTTGCAGCAAGAGTCTTGCAAGTCTTGCAATTACCTATTAGTCTATTACTATTTATTAAAGTTTACTTTAAATCCTAGAAAAACGTATTAGAATTGGAACATTGTGAGCTTGAATGAATATAGCCATAGTAAAGATCAAGCAGATTAATAAATAACTGAAGATTTGATAAGAAATTCGAAAAATCAACTGACCTATATGTCGTTTTCCATGGAAGTAACTGTTTCTTAATAAACATTTATGATCCTTGCTTTCTACCGCGCCGCCTCGCCACGTGCCGGCTCTATGATAAGGATGCCGCCGCAAATCAAACAATAATATAAAGCGTGTAAAAAAATTCGAAATTATTTTGCATGAGTATACCTACACCCTATGGCGGCAATCAAATAGTGTCAAATGTTATGATTTCGGCGTGGCGGCAACGATTGTTTTAGATTTCAAAAGAAGCCGCCGGCGCGTGTATCATAACCATGTACTTCCGAAAAGCGGCAAATTTCTTTGAGAAGTAAGTACAAAACCTTTGATGCCGCATTATCAAAGTGCCGATGGTTAAAACATAACTATGCATGCACTCAGTTTGATTTTAATAATTTTTTTATTCGCTATGTTTATGGTATTAGTCGTAATGCGCATAGGTCCAGTTTTTCATATTCTTTGATACAGTTTTTTGCGTCTCATAGAATTCCTAAGCGTACCTACCTATACACCGAACTGTTACACCTAACTACTCAGTGAAATAGCGCTAAGTCCTAGCTGCAAGACGCAAGAGTCTTGCAGGCTATGTCTTGTTCTTGCTCAAGTCTTGCACGGTCAGTCTTGGTCTTGGTCTTGCTAAAAATACGCGGTCTTGTTCTTGGTCTTGGTCTTGCAAAAACGCAAGAACAAGACCAAGACTGCAAGACCAAGACTGAATTTGGGCAACACTATTTTTCGCATATGCAATGGTAGAAACTTATGTCGACCGTAATTGTTTCTATATGCCAATGCCGCAAGCTTGAGGGTTGTTTAAAAAAAAAAATATCTCGAAAACGGTAAATTTTAGAAGTAGAAAGGCATTGTGAAAGTCTACCTAAAATCATAAGTAGAATTCAAAACCGTCATAATATACAGGGTGTTCCATTTAAAATAACGAATTTGGTGTCAACTTCCGGTATAACCGGAAATGCTACATAGATGTCGTTATCTTAATTGAGAAGAGCGTACCCAATAACGCTATTGTCCCAATTTTCAAATTCGAATCGAAGTAGTCTAATGAGTGGTCACCGTGAAACACCCTGTATGTATCACACGTAATATACTTTACATCAATTTCTCTGGGCTTTTCCCCTAATGTCCTTAGACATCTAATATTTGAATGGTCCCTGAAGAATCTTTTAAAGTCACAAAATTTATTTATCTTTACTGATATTGCATCTTGTTATCGTGTGTTGACCCTCGGTTGCAATTTCCTTAGCAAAATTGCTTTGAAATTTAAAAGTGAGGCTATTTATTTTCTTCGGTATTAGCCGTGCATCCCTATGCTGTAGCATTTGTAGCGTGTGTAACCTCAGTTTATATACTCCGCTTGTCGGCAGCCACTCTTTACCCATATTTTAAGGTAAAAGTTTTCGATCTCGGGAGCTGTCGCTACCGCTCTCGCTGCTCCTTGCGCGTTATAAACGCCCTCAAATTAATAAATATTGAGCCATTTATTTTCCGAGACATCTTTTATCTGAACAAGCAGTTGCAAGTAGTGTTACATATATGTGTGTATGCATGTACACTAACGAAAATATAGATGCTGTTGTAGACTTTAATAAAAATTTGTTGCTAGTTCAGTGTCACGATTTGCACAACTATCAGTGGCAAACTAAAGAAATATATCTCCCGTCAGCATTAGCCACAGCCTGGAAATAACACATAAAAGTTCTTTTAACGATAGCAAAATGTAAAAAATATGTAATTTGAATTTGCAACGAAACTAGCGTAAAATGTAAAGATGGGTTGGTAGGACACCTCCTTAAATATTGAAGAGCTAAGTAGAAACATATCATACAGAGAAACAGGAGTTGAAAGGGGAAGAGATGTACTTAGATTAAGTTAGTTAGGGATGTAAGACTTTGTATGTGAAGATTTCCTCAGGATAGGAAAGAGTGAAGATGAGTACCCAACTAGTCTTAGATCTAACGATCCTAACGAGGATGATGCTAAAGGTAAAAAGTAAGTATTGTAATATTACGAAAAATGGACGGTGAAGCGGCAGAAAAGAAAAGGTTATAAGCGTTCGAAATGTGGTGTTACAGGCGAATGATGAGGATACCGTAGATAGAGAAGGTTAGAAATGAGGAGGCATTAGAAAGAATAGGAGAACAGAAGACTAAGGAAGTCAATAAGAAATAGACGAGATAGGTTGGTAAGACCAGAGACATATTAGAGGCAGAAGCAGGAGTTAAGAGGGGTAGAGGTAGACTTAGATTAGATTACTGTTCGTAAATAATGAAATTTGAAATTTGTAATATACAAAAATACAATACTGACTAATAGTTTGATTAAAAATTTTGAGGATTATGCAAAAAAAAAATAATTGCAAGCTATTTTTTCAAATTTCAAAATTTAGTAATTTTTAAATGGCTGTAACTAGTCTTTTTGTAAAGATAACCATACTTTGTCTTAGTGTTTTGTAAAGCTCAAAAACTCAACTTTGAGAATATGAAACGGTTTTTTGGAACAAAAATGCGTAAATTGTGTAAATTTAATTTAAAGCAAAAAAGAATTTTTCCTATGTTAATTAAATGGGAAACTATAAAATAAAAATAGCGATTTGAGCTATAGGGCTCATGTTTGGCGAGGATTTTTTTTACATCAAATAGAAACATTTAAGGGGGTAAGAGTTAGAAAGAAAAATTAAAAATTTTGTTTGAAGCACCCTACTGACGACCTTATGATGATGATGAATATTACGTTAGCATATACTAAATAGAATGAACTTGCAGTAATTAATCACAAGGTAAACAAGCCTACAATTGGCTTGTAAGAATGGAGCACCTGAAATTTTTCTGACCGCGACGTGCTACTGTTCGTTGTCAAGGATTGATATAAAATCCGTGGTATCTTATGGATAGGCGTACACATATACATACATATAGGCATCAGACATAACCCAGCCGATTGGAAAGCCTTTCGTAGTTATTAGGCACTTCGATTTGACCTGGAAAAGTCGCAAGTGATTCCAGTCGCCGCATTGTAATTAAAATAATTAAGCTTTGCGCCTTAATTGCTGATCGGCCATTGGCGATAAAGCGAAAACCGAAAAAGAAAAACTTATCTGGAAAGCAGCGTTTGCGGGTCCGCACTAAATCAACATATGTCGACAAATTTCTCGCAACTGCTTTCCCATAATCGCCTACAAGTCGCGCATTTTTTAATTAGCCTAATTACGATCAAGCGGGTTTTATCTTGAATCTTCACCGAGCCTTTACGCGAGTGTATGTTAAATACATATGTAGATGCATGTTATGTTATTGCCGACTGCTGTGTAGTTTATCATTTACAGCAGGTTGCAATTGCGGCCTCCGTCGACGTCGCTGTAACTATCGCCTGGGGTTGTTTTGATGGTCGACGCACCCAGCACCAGCGTCTAACTGCCAATATACGTTACTTGCATTCTCTACCTTGACACTGACTGAAATTGAGCGGTGTCGTCGGTTCTCGTCGTAGTTTCAAATTCATTTGATATCAATACTCCACGTTATCAATCCAAATATTACTAGAAAGTACATGAATAATAAATGACTGGTAAAGGTCTAGATGATGACCTCCACTCCCATCGGGGGTGGGGATGGGGGGATCGAAGGAGGAGGTCTCCCCCACCACTGTACCATAAAAAGTTCGTGGCGGTCTCACCCCCATAAAAAGTTATAGGGGCTCAAAGTTAATAAATATGCCAATTTTTATACATTTCTAGGCATGTAAATATTTATATAGTCATTCTTAAACAATATTCAAAGGTAAAACTAATGAAAAATACATAAAAATATTGAGAAAGTTGTATAAAACATTATTTAAATATCTTTATCAAGAGGGTAGGTTAGGTTATGTTAGGTTATCGGGTTTTTTTCAAATGACCACCCTCTTTCGCTCCCCCACCTCCACCCGCTTGACTATATTTGTTTTATTAAATTTTATTTGAATTTTAGTGTAGGAAAATTGTCAAAATAATCAACTTGCAACCGCCATAACTTTTTATGGGGGTGAGACCGCCGCAAATTTTTTATGGGGTTTTACTCAGGTGAACATCCTCTTCCGATCCCCCCTACCCTCTTTCGACCCCCCTACCCTTTTTCGATCCCTCCCACCCCACCCCATCTAATATATAACTTTTTATGGAAGTAAGACCGCCACGAACTTTTTATGGTACGGTGGTGGAAGAGACCTCCTCTTTCGATCCGACCCACCCCCACCTCCTTGGGGGGGGGCATCATCTAGACATTTACCAAATGACTTTTGCACATTACTCAAGAAAATTATCCCTCATTCAACTAATTGTAAAACATATACTCCTGTCGTACTTTTGCCTTTTGTATCGAAGGTGTTAAATATATACATCTTTACTGTTAAATTGCATCCCGTTT